GGTAAAAGTGAAAGTAAAAGAAAACATGGTGTGGTGCAAACTTAAAGGGGCAGCATTGAGGAGTCAGCCGTGTCCCCCTGGACTGGAAGCTTCTTTTTATCTCATAGTGGCAAACTTTCTTTTATTCCTATCTTGATTTGACAAAGTTTGCTGCCCCTCCACCATAGTCTTCCTCAAATCTAAAAAGGTGTCAAAAGTTTGTGCAGCATAGCTTTTTGTTTGTGCTGTGATCATTTTAAAGATAATAAATGTGAATAAATAGATACATAAATAAACCAACAAAATGAAAGTTTCAAGGTCAGAAAGTCAATCAGCCACTCCTCCCCCATTACTCAAATTAAACAAAATTGGTGTCAAATGTTTTTCTACCTTTGTGCAGTAACGTTTTTTATTAGTGCCATTATTTTGAAGATATTAATACAAAAAATTACATAAGTCATCTATGAATGACCTCATTACTTAAGAAAACATTTTGATGTTTGAGACAGAATCTAAACACCTAGTAAACTAAATATTTTTTTTACTTCAACATTAACTGTCTGTAATAAGACAAAAGAATTTTAAACTTTGAAATTTGGAGTTACTTGATATATTTTTGCAATGTGAAGTATTTTGAGAAAAGATTGTAGCAGAACATTTCCAATATGACACGTTGTATAGATTCTACAGACACACTTACATCCATGCTTTTAAAGTTGAGAAACAGTTTATTAATTATGAAAATTAATTTGAGAATGACTGGACCACGGTGATGTACCTGTGAAACAACAAATATGGCATTTATCTTCCAAAAGAACTTCCAAAACTTATTGGTATTTGGTTTAAATGCTTCTCTAGCAAAGGGGGCCAGTGGTTCTTACAGACGATACAGAGCTATTGGTGAAAAAGAAGTTAAAACCAACATAAAGAGGTTCTGGAATCGTTGCGTTGAATGTGTGGATGTGGCTCAGGGAATCTGCGTCAACAGTGAAAAAGGACAGAGTTCCAGCCGGACAGTCCAAGTACATCGCTATTTTTGGAGAAACAGGATGGTTAGAGAAATTTACAGAAGATAGTTTGGTATTATCTTTCCAAATTGAGTAACCAATATCAGAACATCCCAAACTCCAGCTGAGATCCATCGATTCCAGTGGAGAGTCCCTGTCCTTGTCTTCCTCTTCCCTTTCTCTGTTTACTGACACGTCAATCTCTCCTGTCCACTCGACTTCCCAGTAACAACGGCCAGTAAGACCATTACTACAGAGCAGCTGATAAGGCTCCTCATAGTCAGGAAACGTCTCCTCTTCCACACGCGTCACCTTCCTGTTGTCTTCTGAAAGCTTCAGGTTTCTGCTCACCGTGTTTCTGTCGATGGTGAGTTGACAGGAATCTGATGGAAAGAAACACAATCCAGCTGCAGTTATTGATCATTTATTGACATATTGTTGTTGATGATGATATGACGGCTTAAAGCCGCTTTGTTGTCATGAATCAGATGAAAACCACTTACACTTCCTCAGACCTGGAGTCAACCATCGGACTCCAGCAGGCTCCGTCCTGAATGGAGGAGTCAGATTTAGACAACTTTGTTCAAACAGAGTTTTCACAAATTAAAAAAAGGTCTTTGGTGTAGAATGGCGCCTGGGTTGCACTGACACATGAAGAGATTTTACAATAGTCCAGGCATTATTTTAACAATCTGTTTTCCCATCAAAAGGTAAAAAGGTAAAGGTAAGGTTCTGACTTTTCAAGTAACAAACTGTAAAGATTGATCCCCTCTCTTTCTGCATACCTGAGAGTCTCTAGTCCCCAGTTTGGGTCATCCAGGCCTGCTGACAGCAGCTTTAGTCCTGATTCTCCTGGATGATTGTAACTCAGGTCCAGTTGCTTCAGCGCTGAAGGCTTGGAGCTCAGAGTTAAAGCCAGGGAAGCACAGCCTTCCTCTGTGATCATGCAGCCTGACAAGCTGCAAATGGACAACAGGAAAGCTAAAATAAAGCTAATTTTAGCTTTATTTGATCAAATTTAACAAGTTTTCTGAGGGAAAATATTGTTTCTATTATCTTAAACTGAATGAATGAAAACATGTACCAGAATAGCAAAGTGGGTAAGGTTTCATAAGTAGCACTGCTAATCTCCCACATCATTCTTATATTTATATACTCTGCTATCATAGTGGAATATTGGAACCGTTTCTCTGAATAAAATGCTACAATTAAAAAAAAAGATTTCCTTAACTTATTAAGGCTATTATCAGATTAACTAATGATCAGCAGCATTAATGTCTTTGTGATTTCCAAGTAATTTTAACATGAGCATTGTCTTTTACATTCATGCTCATTAGTTCTTCATAATTTAAAATTTTTAAATGTATTTACAGTTACAGTGTTAAATGTTCATTAGAATTTAAAGTTTATTTATATCTGAGAATGTGTTCTTATGTTATTTTGCCATAACCATTATATAAGTGGAAAATGGTCTCAACACAAAAATATTACTTAACGCAATAACTTCAGGGACAATTTATCATCCAGAAAAACTTATAATTGTGACAGAACTAACAACTTCCCCTTTTGGCTCAGTTGTTTCTTCATAAAAACAGACAACAGCAACAGGACACAATTTATTTGTATTTTCTGCTTATTGATCCAGTCAAGACTGTAACTCAGAGACTGAGCTGAAAACACTAAAGAACTTTGACTGAACCTACCTGAGTGACTCAAGCTTGCAGTTTGGACTCTCCAGTCCCTCACACAGAAGCTGCACCCCAGAGTCCTGGAGGTCATTGTTGCTCAGGTCCAGCACTCTCAAAAGTGACGTGTGAGAAGACAGGATGGAGCAGACGGATTGGCAGCTTCTGTCTGACAGGTCACACAGACTAAGTCTATAAAGGCAAAAACAAAAAACATGTGAACAATAATCTGATGAACACATTCCAAGCTGCAGTACTGAAGTAAACTATTTTCCTCAGATTGCCTAAAAAAACTATAATTACTGAACTGTGCTTTTGAGTTGTTTTTTTAATTTAAGTTTTGTTTATTTTATTATCATTAATCTTTTATTCTTTCCATTCCCTGTCTCATATCGATGTTACTTTTCAGTACCTGAGCGTTTCTAGTTTGCAGTGTGAACTCTGCAGCCCAGCACACAGCTGCTTCACTCCTGCATCCTGCAGGCTGTTGCTGCTCAGGTCCAGCTCTCTCAGACTACAAGGCTGGGAGCAGAAAAGTGACGACAATCTCTCACAGCTTTTATCGGACAAGTTGCAGCGATTCACTCTGACGACACAGCAAGAAAGATGACATGTCAGGCAATGGTGAGTGACTGTATGATGCACCACGGCAAAACCAGGAACAAGTCCACAGAGCAGAAATGGAGGGGAAAAAAAAGAGACATTATAAGCAAAGTGAAACTTGGCATATAACATCTACAGAGAAAGCCACTAAAAGAATGTGGAAAAAATGTTAATACTTTTGAAAATTGTGTAAGCAAGGGTTGAGCTAAGCACTGTTGCCCTTTGCTTAAACCTCTTTGTAAGATTTCAGAAACTGAAAGGTTATAAAACAAGCAAAAAAAAACACTAGCACAGTAGAATTTTTACAAAGCTTATTTTAGGGGAAGGTAAGTGCAGTAAACATCTTAAAGTTACCAAAAAATGCAAAACAGAAAATTATCTCGACTATGAGCGCATTAGTGGATGTGTGCCCATCATAGCCAGGTAGTAGCTAGTTACATTTAATAATTTTTTCGAATCTACTTTTATATGTATTTTTACTATGCTGTACGTTTTGCTTTTACTTCAGTAATTTTATTATGAAGTATCGATACTGAGTTGTTTTAGCCAAAAATTCACCAATCATAGACACACACCTGCAGTTTTTGTTAAAGTTTAATTAAGTTTTTTTAAACAAAACTGACTTGGAAAAATTCATTTTGCCTGATTTTGTTATTTTTTTGTTACTTATGTAAATTATTGCACTTACAGCCTTAAAATTAAAACATTTCCATTTAATTTATATTTTGGTCCATCTGATAATGTAATCTTTAAATATTAAATGATCGATAATTTGATCAGTTACTTATAGACTTTTTACCAAATGCTTTATTACATTTGAGTAATTTATTGGACAGCTACATTTTGATTTTACTTGAGTAACAATATGTTGAAGTAGTGCAACTCTTACTGGACTATAATTTTTTGCTACTCTGCACACCTGATAACCCATTAATTAGATGCAAACTAACCTCAGAATTTCCAGTTTACAATCAAGATTTTTCACTCCAGGCAGCAGTAGATCTAGTCCAGAGTCCTCCAGATTGTTGTTACTTAAATCTAGCTCCATTATGCTACATATTGGGGTGCTGAGAATGGAGCACAAGGCCTCACATGTTCTCCTAGAGAGCTCACAACCTCCCAGTCTGTATAAATCACAAATTAGTACAATAAATGTGCAGGAAATTAGAGATGAGAAACATCTGTATTGCTCTATACTCACAAAGCTGTAATGGAGACCTTGACCACTGGCAGCAGCATCAGAAGAACGTTCTCTGAATCACCATAATTCTTGAGTTCAAAGACATCCAGATTACTTTCTGAAGACAGAATGATGGAGACCAGATCTGACCACTCAGCAGGAGACAAGTCATGCGTTCTGAGGTGTCCTGAAGTCAGGTACCGCTGGATCTCCTCCACTACTGAACTATATTTAGTTTCATTCAGACAGTGGAACAGACACAACATTTTCTCAAAGCATAGAGATTTTTCAGTGTATTTCTTTATGCACTGGTCTGTGTGCTGATTCCTCTGTGAGTTATTTGTGGTCCATTTAAGCAGGCCTTTAAGGAGAGATTGGTTGGTCTGGAGAGAAAGACCCAGAAGGAAGCGGAGGAAGAGATCCAAGTGTCCATTCGGACTGTCTAAGGCCTTTTCCACTGCACTCTGGTAAAGAACATTTAGATCAGGCTCTTTACCTTCCACTAAGGTGTTCCTGTCCATCAGGTTCTCACAATGTTCAGTAAAGGTCAGATGAACATGAAGAGCAGCCAGAAACTCCTGAACACTCAGATGGACGAAGCAGAACACCTTGTCCTGGTACAGCCCTCTCTCCTCTCTAAAGATCTGTGTGAACACTCCTGAGTACACTGAGGCTGCTCTGATATCGATGCCACACTCTGTCAGGTCTGATCCATAGAAGATCAGGTTTCCTTTCTGCAGCTGATTAAAAGCCAGTTTTCCCAGAGACTTTATCATCTTCCTGCTCTCTGGACTCCAGTGTGGATTTGTTTCAGCTCCTCCATCATTCTTGACCTTCTTCACTTTGGTCTGAACCACCAGGAAGTGGATGTACATCTCAGTCAGGGTTCTGGGCAGCTCTCCTCCCTCTCTGGTCCATAACACATCCTCCAGAACTGTAGCAGTGATCCAGCAGAAGACTGGGATGTGGCACATGATGTGGAGGCTTCGTGATTTCTTCATGTTGTTGATGATCCTGCTGGCCTGCTGCTCATCTCTGAATCTCTTCCTGAAGTACTCCTCCTTCTGGGGGTCAGTGAACCCTCTGACCTCTGTTACCATGCCAACACACTCAGCAGGGATCTGATTGGCTGCTGCAGGTCGTGTGGTTATCCAGAGGAGAGCAGAGGGAAGCAGTTTCCCCCTGATGAGGTTTGTCAGCAGAACATCCACTGAGCTTGACTCTGTAGCATCAGTCAGGATCTCCTTGTTGTGGAAGTCCAGCGGAAGTCGACTCTCATCCAAGCCATCAAAGATGAACAGAACCTGGAACTGTTCAAAGTTACTGATTCCTTTGGTTTCAGTAAAGAAGTGATGAATCAGTTCCACCAAGCTGAACTTTTTCTCTTTCAGCAAATTCAACTCTCTGAAGGTGAATGGAAATATGAACTGGATGTTCTGGTTGGTTTTGTTTTCAGCCCAGTCCAAAGTGAACTTCTGTGTTAACAGTGTTTTCCCAATGCCAGCCACTCCCATGGTCATCACTGTTCTGATTGGTTGATCTCTTTCATGTTGGACTTTAAAGATGTCTTCTTGTCTGATTGTTGTTTCTGGTCTGAATGGTTTCCTGTTTGCTGTTTCAATCTGTCTGACCTCATGTTCCTGGTTGACCTCTCCAGTTCCTCCCTCTGTGATGTAGAGCTCTGTGTAGATCTGGTTCAGGAGGGCTGGACTTCCTGCTTTAGCGATTCCCTCAAACACACACTGGGACTTCTTCTTCAGGGAGGATTTGAAATGCTGCTGATGAACTCCACCATACATTTCTAAAATTAATAGTAATATATTGATTCAACATAACAAATCCCTTCATATGACAGATTTATACAGATTTAAATATATGATTTTCAGTTATTTGTGTTTTTAGAAAACAAATCTTACTGTTCTGAAATCGATCAGCCAGCTCCTCCTGCTTCATATTTCTCAGAAATTGATGGGTAATCTTCAGAAAAGCTTCTCTGCTGATCTTCTCCTCATCTTCAACATCCATTGAACACGTTAACCATTCAGGATAATCTGAACATAAAACCTGGTGGATCTTCTTCAGCTCGTTTTGCACAAAAGAGACAATCTTGATTTCTAGCAGCTAAATTAGAAAGAATTTAGAAAATTAAACAAAATATTGTATGTCCAGTGTATGAGGTGCAGATTGACATTGAACTAATATCCCAAGTGCTCTGTAGAGAACAGAATCTGTTGTGAACACAGGTTAAATTTCAGGTTAATCTGTAAAGCTGAGATCAACACTGGTTTCTATCTGAAAACTAAACTTTAACACAGATTTCTCTTAAGAGTGTTAAGATGTTAAGCTAGTCTCGATGTTAACTTTGTCAAGTCCTAAAGAACCAGTTTCTTTAAAAAAGCACTAAAGACATGATGTATTCCTGTCATTGCTCATATTCAAGGCACCAAAAAACACTTCAAGTCGAACCCCGACCTTCAACTCAGAGCCAGACTTAGTGCAACTGTTTTTAATCACAAATTGAACCAACACCACAAACAGGATTGGTGACGAGACGTAGACCCACCGATCCCAAATATTCCTTCATGTCCTGATGCAGACATAAGGGTCGAGAAAAGCTTGTCCTGCCTGGACACCACCAGCAAATGTCTCAAGGAGGCATGTACTTTAACCATTTCCAGAACCAAAAAATTTGTGGCATGGATAATCAAGTCTTCAAGATTTCTCAAGAAGTCAAAGAAGGTAAAAATTGACTATTTCAGGACAGAACAAAATCTCTTCTCTTTGAATCCAACATAAACATTCCCAAGGAGGCTGAAAAGAATGATGCCCCAATAATAGCTATGTGACTCCAACATTGTTGAAAATGTTCAAACCTTAAATATGGAGTCCAGCTGTGGTAATGCTGCATCTTCAGGAACCTCTGAGATCCTCTGGACACTTCTGTGAAATAATCAGGGAGATGCACTGAGAAAGAAAATTGTAAATTGTCCTTTTCATTTGAAGCAGGCTTGCTTCAAATGAAAAGGTAATCCAACCAAGTTTTTTTTACCCTTCTGAGAATAGCATGCCACCTTAGAAGTTGTTTTCATCAAGTTCGCCTTTGAACTTTTTTAAAATTCTTTGATCAAATTCTGAAAAATAAAAACCCCAACGATGTATTCAAGAATCCAACACTAAATCTAATTCTTCTCATCTTTACTTCTCTGTTTCTACATCCATTTTTTTCTGCTTCTTCAAAAACTGGGTCATGGATCCTTGGTCAGATGGTTTTCCCACTGTATGTGCTGTATAATGGCTGCTGGAAAAGACAAGTACTTTGCTGGCTTACCATCCAGCAACCTGCGTTCCTATTGGTTGTGCAGGAGGTTCCATTTCTGCTTTTCAAAGATGTACAGTTGTATAACTGTGCATGTGTTTGTAGCCATTTTCACAAACAAGTGTGAATGTTGAGTAGGGGGCGTTATTTGGGTTTAAAGTGACAGAGCCCTAAAACGTCTCATTCTGAAAGGAGCGTAAAAAAGGCAGAACTGAGCAGAATAAAATCTGATTATGTAGGAATGATTTTGTTAAAAATGTTATGAACATGTTCTGTAGCCCATAAACCTTTCCTTAGCTGTTCAAGGAAGGACAACAGGTCACCTTTAACTTACTCAGATTCAGGGATATTTAGTCTCTTAAAGTTAACAAGTGGGTTGTCCTTTGACCTGTCGCTCTTAAAGGACACACAGCTGGGTCCGGGTTCTGCTCCGGGTTCTGGTTGGTTCCTGTTGAACAAGAAGGATTTTTCACTCAAGTACTGAGCTAAAACATGTGGGAGCCCCTCACTAGGACAACCAATAAAAGAAATTCATTTAAAAAAAAACACATTTTATAGATTAATTCCACACAAACTGATGTTTTCAATCCTTTGAATGCTCTTAATTATGATGAATTTCTGCTTACAGCCAATTAAAAACATCAAACTAATAAAATATTTTTTAATGCAGAACTGTGGGATGAATGTAATCTGTGTTTAATCTTCCTTCTAGGCTATCTTCTACAGTCACTTAATCTGAAAACATAAGAACGTGTGATCCCATTTATTTAAAACAGGTGGTATTTTATAGATTATCTGTATGGCTGTCTAATTCTGAAATAAATGCAAATGAAGCTCCTAACCTAAATCTGCAACCATTTATTCATACAGTATTGATGTAAATTACAGATGAGGTCAAATCTGCTGGTTTTCCAGAGTTTGTCTCTACAGAAACTCAAATATTTAACCCATCTTCAAGCAGAAACAAACCTAGTTTAGTTTGTTACATGTTTACAGAGAGTGCGGCTGAGGATTTGACATTCTGACACGTTTCATTATTCTCTGACTCGCCTGATGTCCTTGTGTCCTCCACACAGAGACGTTCTACAGGGACGGACTCTGTCCTCTCGCTGATCCATGCTGCTCACAAACCTGCTACCTTCAACTGAGCAGAAATCGCAGAAAACATTATTACAGCTCTACAACCATCACATGTAATAAGAAAGTAAAGTCCTAGCATTCATTTTCATCATGTACTGCTTTGTTTTGAAGTTTCAGACACTAATTAAGCTTCTAGAGACTAAAGAGCTGTTATAAATTATTTAACCACAGCAGAAAACTGGAGTGTGTCACAGTAAAAGCTGCAGACGTGGTTATTAAACAGTCTTATCAAAATGTCCTCATTAAAAATGATCGATTTGGGTTTAAATGCTTCTGATATATTGGATTAATATGAATGTTAATGTGAACAACTCTGAGTCTCTCACAGCTTGTGTTTTTTTCTCTTTTCAGTCCAGATGATCTTTTTCTCCAAATACTTTAAATAGACAGTAATAAGGATATTTCAGAGTGCCAAAGCTAAAAAAAAATATTTTTTTATTTTTCTAAACTCTGATTGTTTACATTTTCATTCTAATTTGTGGCCAAAAATAAGCATAAATATAAATTTAATCTGATAAGTCGTTCATTACACATGAAAGTGTAGAAATATGAAATATGTGTCTTTTAATTTGTTTTATGGGGGGAAATCTGATTATTCTTTCTTTTCAAATAGAAATGTATAATATCTTAATAAATTTCCAGGTTTTGGCCAAAAACCTTCAGTATTTAAAAAAAATAAATAGGAAAAGAGAACATCAAATCAATAAAACTTTATTTTGGAGCTGAATTTAAAATATGTTTGATTATATTTTTCTAAATATTTTCTATTAAAAACAGAAAAATTCTATTTTAAGTTATTTTATAAAGTCTTAATGTTGTGTTGTATTGTTTTAGTTTTGTATTTGTATGATATTTTAATTGTATGCTCTTTTATTTTTCTGCACAGTGCCTTGAAAAAACAGGTTTTATCTTAAATCTAAATAAAAAGAAAGCAAGAATTTTAATTCTAACAGCTTTTAAAACTCTTAATTTAAAAAATACTTTTGTTTTAGTTTTAGAAAAATTAAGATATTGAGGACTCATTTAATAAAAGCTCAAGTTTGAATGAAAAGAGCAAAGAAAATCAACAGAAAACATATGATTGATGGTTTGGTATATTAGATAATGGTGCTGTTATCCCTAATGTGACCACTAGGTGTCAGAAATTGGCGCATATTGTATGAATTTAGCAGCTTTGTAAAGTAGGAACAGAGGCAGAAGTGGAAGTCAACCAGCTGCAAACAGAAAAATTACATTTCAGGAGAAATAAAAACTTTCAGCTCATGTTGTAATTCGGATAGTTTAAAAAATGACTAGAAATCTGCAGAGACTCAGAGCTGCATGAAAAGGTGCCATCATTTACTGCTGCCCTGACTTAGGTTCACCAAAAACTTCCTCCACTGGACCACAGCTCTGAATAGCAGATTCCTGCTATTGGTTAGAAACTCAAACACTAAAAACTGCTTACTTTACCATCAGACTGAGATTTTCCTCGGAGAACGTCGTCTGAGCCGAAAACTTTCTGAAAGTGAAACTAGAAGAGAAATCAGGAAATGCCATCTGCACCCAGAGAGGGAGGAGGATCCTTAATTCAGCAAGACACGTTTCATCATTCAGGAAACGGTCAAAATATTCATCAGTCCGAGAAAATAACCAACAAGGAGAACAAGAACAGTTTACATGTTAGGAAAATTACTAACCTGAAGTTTCCGTAAAGATAAAGTTTATCACCTTTTGCTCTGAATTTTATTTAATGATCCTAATTGTTCATGGATGCCTCCAGTAAAGGAAACAGATTTCTAATCTAATTAAATTTGACCTTTTCTCTTTTTAGTCACATTTCTAAATTAAAATATTTGACTCTGAAGGACATTTTCAATCAAAAAAAACCCAGATTTCCAAAAATCTGCTTCTGTTGCCATTTCTGACTTCCTGTTTCCTCCATCATGAGTTCACACATTTCAACTCTGTTCAAGTCAAAATCTGTCCATCATAGTAAGTTGGTGACTCAATGCTACTAACAAACTTTGAAAACATTTAGCTTTTCCTCAATTTAATTTTCCAGATATAAATGCTAAAGTGCTAATTTGATTGGCTGATTTAAAGTTTAACGTCTCTGTTTAAGAGACTGTTTAACGTCTGTTTGATTATCCAGATGTGTTTTTATTATCAAGGTATGTTTTTATCTTTAGTCTTACAGAAATCACTGGTTTGATTCTGGAAGATTTAGATAAAATATTAAATATGTGAAACCTTCAGTTTGCAGAATCCATACGGCGAATAAACTTAGAGTATTTGGTGCAGAAAAACCAGAGAACCTGCTGCTCAGGAACTAAATATATGTGTAAATAAACCATTAGGTTGTTTAAATTATTAATATTTCTACATTTTAAGAGTCAAATAAACTCGTATTTGTTACATATTAATAATATAATCCATACCAACTATCCTGATTTGATCGTGTCTAATTAAATATATTGTCCATTTAAAAAAATAAGAATCAAAATAAAGTCTGCAGAAATTTAACTTGAACCAAAACAAAAATATTAAACAAATCTTAGTTTTCTAAAGACTTCTGAAACATAACTGATGATGGTTAGCGTTGGTTTTAGCTGTCAAGTTATCAACACAATGTATTAAATCTTACATTTATGCATTTATAAGAAACAGAGACGCAGTGCTTTGCTACTAATTGTCAACACAACTGGATAACAAGGGAAGGAAAAAGTTTTAATTTAAAAAAAATGGCGAGGAAGAGACGGTTGAATCAAACATGTTAATTCATGTTAATTCTCTTTAATCAACTACATGAGAATTTTTAATCAGTCCTCATTGCTTTAATAAATTAACAAAGAAGAAAGTTTTTGTCAAAACAGTCACTGAAAAAACGCATAACTTGTAGATGAAACATGTTTACAATCTGTTTCTTTATCGCTACATAAAATGCTTCATTGTTATCCAGCTGGGCCTCTAATACACACACAGGTCAGGAAACTTCATCTCATAGACGGGCGTTGACCGCTGAGACGGCTGTCCTGACGGAGACGGTGGAGGACGGACGATCAGGTCAAAGACCCGGTCCAGCTTGGACTGAAGCAGCGACGTCTGTGGGGAAAGACGACACCGTCCGTCAGTCAGACAGCTTGACGTGTTTTCATTCAAACAGACAAAGTTTGTAATCTGACCAAAACCAAAAACAGCTTTAAGATAAATTGTTCGGTTCGACTGGGGACCAAACTGGAGACATTTGTTACATTTTCAGCTGCTGTAGTTTTCCTTCTCTCTGCCCTGAGTCAAACGATCTAAACTAGTTGAAAGCCTGTTCCCTTCCTCGCCTCTAGGGGCGCTGCATGAAGAACGACACAAAAACCTTTGAAGACATTGAGTGCAATTTCCTTCTTTTTGAAATGGAAACCAAAATGGAGGCGTCAGATTTTACCAGTTATTTGTCTTTGGCTAAAGATCACGAGTCATTTCCAGAGTTTGACTAGCTTTCACACCAACCGAACCGAACCGGACCAAACCGGACTCACTAAACAAACGGACTGGAGTTGGATTAAAGTGGACATATTGGTGCTGGTGTGAATGCATCCTTAGTGTCTCACCCTGGATCCGCAGAGAGCTGCGATTTCCTCAAAAGGAGCCGTCTGGAACCTCTCCACCACCTCCATCCTCTTCCTCCTCTCCTCCTCCTCCACACCTCCTCTGTCCTCTAAAGGAAAAACAACGTCTCAAATAAACGCAGAAGCAAATGAAAAGCTCATGCAGGTAAAAGGCAGCGGTTTACCAATGGTGTTCTTCAGCGTCTCAAAGGTGATCTGCTCAGTCTGAGGTTTCTGCAGAGCAGAAAGTGGAAGGTGAATAGTCGTTCAGATGAACGGATGAACCTACAGACAGAAACAAACCTGCGGGTCAGCGCTGGACTCCTGGTCTATGGCGATCTGGAGGGAGATGGTGTCTGCAATGCTCATCTTCCTGGACAGACGGTCTTCATCTGGAACAAAACTAAAGTCAGAGAACTGCAAATCACAGGCCGGCTTTCACGCTGCTCATTTCCTGTCTAAGAAAATCCTGAAATGAACGTGTGAACAGGTAAGGCGTGTTCACCGGTCAGCTGAGGAGTGTAAGGCGTGTTGAGGCGTTCACACTGTGCGCTGTAGCTGCTTCCTGTCAGCGCCTCGCAGATCTTGGACTGGACAAACAGGAGATCTTTGTCCACCATCAGATCCCCGTTTGGGATCCTGACAAACCAAATCAATCGATTATTACTTCTTCCAATCCAGCAGGAAATCGTCTGATCGGCTTGTTTGGTACCTGGGTTGGTCACACAGGACGCCTTCAGGCAGCAGGTGTGGCGCCCCCTTCTGTCGACTCTCTATGACCTGCAGAAATATAAATCTAGAGTAGACACGCTGAACACACCATCACTCCTTATTTCTACACTCTGATGACCTGAGTGACGTGCTGACGGAGAGGCGGCGGCGGGCCGAGCTGCGACAGAACATGGAGGACGGCGGCGCAGACGGCGTGAAGACTGCAGCGGTTCAACACAGACAGACTCTCCTGATTGGACACGCCCAGCTCCTGAGCAGCCAATCACAGAACAGTCCATGAGGGAGGAGGACAGCAACGTGGAGACCCGTCAGGTGATGTGAGCTCACCTGCAGGGCCAGGATGAGTCGGATCAGGTCCACCAGAACCTCCTCACTGACCAGCTCCACACTGAGGACAACCAGTAAGCTGCAGAGCGCCTGGTAGTGGCTCGGCCCGTTGGACTCCTCCTTACAGGCCAGGAAGACGTGTCTGTAGAGCCGCTGGGCGTGCTGCACAGCAGAAACACAAACCTCAGAGGAAGTTTTTATCTCTTTATCGTCTTCTTTTCTTTGTAGTAACAATAAAAATCATCCTGTTTGTAAATGTCTGACGAACATGAACACAGAGCAGCTGTGATCATCATCCTCACCTTCCTGATGAACAGGTTGTCCTGTCGGGAGCATCTGTCCTCCTTCTGCTCCAGAACCGACACGTCAAACGTCACACTGTCCACAAACAACCAACCAATCAACAGCAAGTTCAGTTCTGCCACTTCATTGGCTGATTTTAACTGGCTTCATGCATCTGCCACTAGATGGCAGTGTTTGGCTTTCCTGACCTGACTGCGGTGATCCTGTCTGCGTTGTGACGGCGGTCGATGAGCGAGGTGAGGATGGACAGAACCAGCAGGCGGATCTCCGGGTCGTCCATCAGGGTGAAGGACAGCAGCGGCTCCAGGAAGGAGGAGGGCAGCGCGGTCAGCAGGTTGCTGCTGTCGTAGCGCTCCGAAACCTGACGAGGAACCACCAAACATTCAAACATCCTCTGGATCCATTTCATTTTACTGCTTTTAAAGCTGCAGTGTGTAACTTTAATGAAAAATATTCTTACCTTTTTGTTCATCTGTGAAAAAAATCAAACTCTTACAACCAGAAACAACCACTGTGCTAAGCTACAGCTAGCACAGCATGTTGTGAATGCTAAAGCTAGTTAGCATGGCCACCGATGATGCCTGATAAGCAGTTTTCCTGTAACGTTAAATTGTTTCTCCACCATTAGCACATTTAGCATTGACTACATGAGGTTGATTGACAGCGCTACGACCCGCCTCCTGGTTCTGATTGGCTGTTTTTGGAAGCTCAGGGAGGAGATCAATCTTTTCACAGATTTTATGTCTCATGTTATGCTAATGACAATATCTAAAAACATCTTCTTTATAAATGCACTGCAGCTTTAAGGCTTTAAACTGTCAGTTTAAAGTCCAAAAATGTTTTTGTTTTGACAGTTTACAGAAGAATTGCATTATTAAAAATAAAAATAATATTTAAACATGGCTCCCCACCTGCAGCAGAGACTTCAGCAGCATCACCTGGATCATCCTGCTGCCTTCAAACCTGAAACACAAACTCCTGTTACTGGTCGTCGTGGTAACGGCTCGATGGGAGAGGGAGGGGGGAGAGTTACCCGGCATTCGGAGAGCCCAGCGCCGGGTAGATGCCGGGGACTGGGATTTTCCCCATGATGAACAGCATGACCTCTGACCTCTGGTAGACAGGAAGTGTGTTGGCAAAGGATCCTGCAGCAGCATGAATTAAACTTTAATTAAAAAACACATTTAATGTCTAAAATAAATAATAATTGAGATCAGGTGTGCAAACAATCTGATTTTATTTCTAAGCCCGGTTTTGACCCGGTTCTGACCGATGGTTTTGATGACGCCGTCCTGCAGCGTTTTCTCGTGAAACGACGTGGTTTTGTGTTTTCTGGCGTTGTCATAGTAACCAGTCAGCTGGAAGTCGACGCTCTGCCTGAGCTGCCGCAGCAACGTGTTGAACACCTCCAACACGGTGGGACCTGCAGCACGGAGCAGAAAACTGTCAGACAGGAGGAGAACCTGGTCTGGTCCAGTTCTGGTTCTGGTTCTGGTTCTGGTTCTGGTTCTGGTTCCGGCTCACCTACGGATCCAGTGGCTTCGATCACAGCAGCCTCAGACAGAACCTCCACGATCCCGGCCCGGACAGACGCCGGACTCCTGCTGTTGGCGTCCAGGTGGCCCAGCAGCTGCTGGATGACCAGGTGGGAGTGCTGCGACTGAAAACACATCATTTAGTCACAGCAGCGCCACCTGGTGGAAACACGGCGACACGGCGCAGCTGTTCTGCTGACCTGGATGGAGAACATGATGATCTGAAAGCAGCGAACAGCAAAGCCTCCTCCTTCCCACAGGCTGCGGCTGTCCAGGTGCCTGAAAACACAACCTGACCCTCAGAGACACTTTCTGTACCAACGCTAATGCTAATGCTAATGCTAACACACCTGTGCTTTGGGAATAAGATTCACACAGTCAACCAGAAACAAGTTCAGATTTTCCAGATTCAGATAAATTAAGTCAGAGAAAATCTCACATTTCAAATTCAAAAAGTGGAGAATTTGAAACATCCAAAAACAAAATCTGAGCATTTCTTCCTTGTTCAAATATCTTAGTTCACTTGAAATATAACAGCCAGATGCAGCAGCTCGACTTAAATCTACAGGAGTGAGCCGAGGCGATGTGGAGGCGTTTCTCACATGAGAACGGGTCTGATGGCGTTGTTGATGTGTCCGTACGCGGCTCGGCCCAGCAGCTCTCTGAAGCACACCTCCGTCTGCTCAGCAGGAGAGCCGCTGCACACAAACACACATTCACTGCTTCATCCTAATGAGAAACCAGAACGGTCCAGGTGGTGAGTCAGCTCACCTGCTGCCCTGCTCCAGGTTGACCAGCAGCGCGGGGACGATCTGCTCCATGTGCCGCGGCTCCCAGATGTTGACCTGCAGCTCGTCGTCCACCGTCTTCCTGACCACGCCCTGCAGGCCGCGGATCCCCGACACGCGGATCCTGAACCACAGAAAGTCACATTTCTTCATCCTGAGACCCGAACAGACCTGATTTCTGTCTTTACCCGGATTATCTTTATAATTAAGATTTTGTTTGACAATCAGAAATATTTCAGAAAATACTTTTTCAGAGACCCGAAGCATCAAAAACAAATGAAAAATTATCAAAATATTTCTAAAGTTTTTTTTACAGATTCATGTTTTCTTCCAAAATCTTGATAATTTAACAGTTTTGCTCATTTGAATATTTTTTTTTGCAGGTTTTGGCAGCAGAAACCATAAAAGTTTCACGTAAAGCATCTGGAAACTGACTTGATCTGCATTTCAGGGTCTTCGTGGTCGGAGTGACACATTTCACTGAACCGAGACACGAAGAAGTCGTAGCTGCGATGATACGAAGGCGTGTCCTCCTCGATGTTCGCAAACTTCACAAACTGCAGCCAAAACAAACACAAACATAAAAACAAGAAGAAACTTTAATCTTCAAACAGGCTTTGCTCCATGTTTCCTGGCTGCCATCATACAAACACCCAGTTCACCAGGAAAACTATTTTGTATGTTGAGTTTAAATGATGTGAAATTCTGTGTCAATCTACGTAAAAATCTGAATAAATAACCAAACACTCTCAGATTTATGTTAATTATATTGTTAGAATATGAAAATATTCAAATAACTGTTTCTTCTTATTTGGTAACTTTGAATTTTATGACTAAATTTGCCTGATGAAGCACACTTTTGATTCTGAGAAAAAAAAAAGAGAGATTAAGTTCAAAATTCAGAGAAAAGTCAACATTTTCAGAAAAAAAAGTCTAAATTTTGAAGAAAAGAAAATTGAAATTCACATATAAAAAAGACAAAATTTTGAGATAAATGTCAGAATTCTTAGAAAAAGGTCAAAATTTTGAGAATAAAAATCAGAATTTTGAGGAAAAAAAGTGAAGATTTTGATGAAAAACCAAAAATCCTGATCAAAAAAGTTTGCATCCTGAAAGAGGTGAAAATGAAAAAATTGAAAAAAAATCTGAGAAAACAGTAAAATTTGACTTTGTTGTACAGTTCACAGAAGGGATGGTTAAAATAAAAGCCCCTTTATGAAAATATTTAGTCATTTCCTTCTCAGTAAATTAATGGATTAAGCTGATCTGTTATGTGTGGATCCAGGTGTGTGTGTGTGTTCGTACGGAGCCGGTGGCCAGGATGTGCAGGTGCGGCCTGTCGGCCTCCAGCAGCAGCCGCAGCGTCCCGAGGAAACTCTCCACCAGCAGGTTGATGCTCTGGCAGTGGCAGGCCAGCAGCAGCTGCTCCATGGCCTCCAGCGCGATGCACACATACCTGGAACGGCAGCAGCAGCTTTAACAGGACGCCGACTGAGGGCTAAACCAAACCCGACCCAAAGGTTCTGACCCGTAACGGTGGCGGTTCAGCTCCCTGGTCAGACGCTCCGACAGGTAGGCTGCGATCCTGTCCAGCTTCTCCGGCGCCGACAGAGCGAAGAAGGTCAGCTTCTCCATGTTGGCCTTCACCAGCCCGTCCTGAGCACACAGCACACGACCTCACCATGACCTCACCACGAGGGACAGCGCTCTGTGTGTGCGTGTGTGTGTGTGTGTGTGTGTGTGTGTGTGTCTGTGTTTACCTCTGGGTCTTCAGGGAAAATGTTGTCCACCAGCCGTTTGTAGCGAGGACGCAGCGCCCAGCAGCAGCCACACACACCTGAAACAATAAAACATAATTTGTCCCAAATTATCCCAAAAATTTAAGCATTTACACCCAGACGTGGGCAAAGCACCCAAAAACTGTACTGAAGAGTAGCACTACTACGAAATATTTTTACTCAAGTAAAAAGTGAACATTAAAGAAATGACTCAAGTAAGAGCAAAATAGTATTTGGTTAAAAGTTTACTGAGGAACTGATCAATTTATTAATCATTTAATATTTTAAAGTTACATGATCAGACAGACTAAAATACAAAGTTAAGTGAAAATTTTAATATTTTAAGGACTAAAATGACAATAATTCATATAAGTAACAAATATAACAAAGTCAGGCAAAATAATTTTTTTTCCTAATCAGTTTCTTTCAATAAAAACACTCATGAAACTTCAACAAAAACTGCAGGTGTGTGTCTGTGTCTGTGGTGAATTTTTGGTTAAAACATGTTTGTTTTTCATTCAGTGGGTAGAAAATATAGAAATTTTACTCAAGTAAAAGTAGAAATACTTTATAATAAAATTACTCATAGTACTGCGCAGTAAAAAATACTCCTAAAACTAAATTTCTTTCAAGTAATGTAAATGTAACCAGTTCCTACCCAACTCTGAGACATCAGTACTCTACTCAGCCAGAAGGGGGCAGCAGAGCGTCTGATGGCTTTAATCTTTAATCTCTCATGTTGAGTTTCAGGGATTAAAAGGTTGACAAAACGTCACCCTCAGGATTCCCCACTTCTCCATCTTAATCCCAATCTGAAGCAGAGAGACGAGGCTTCATGTTGCGGGTCCAGATGGACGGAACCGGGCCGCGCCGCAGTAACGCTGCGTCTCAGCAGTTAATCCTGCTGCTGCTCGTTACATAACGTTTTTATACTCTTGCTGTTTTCCGTCAAAAGAGCTTAAAGAGTCCAGAGCGCACACACAACTGGACATGTGACCCGTTTGGACCTCAGAACCAGAAACATGCCTGTAATCAGCTCTGCATAATCTGGTTTATGGGACCGGAGAATTACTGGATTCAGTTTAAATCCAGCCATGACGGCTGAGCTAGCTGCTTTTCCTCAGTCTTCACATAAAATCTGCAGTAAAAGCAGAACTTTCTGTTAATAAACAGGCCCGGTGCAACTTGATGGGAAAGAAAAAGATTTTTCCAAAGAAAATAAATTAATGGCTGCAAAAACTAAACAGTTGGAGTGAAACAGCACATTGTTTAAATGAGCAACGAAAATATGACTCAGAGAGTCATGTGGAAGATTATGACTGACATGCATTTGCTCTGATGAAAGTTTAAATTATATAAAAAGGGACTTAAAGACTTAAAAGGGAATTTATTAAAGCTCAATATCCATTATGTTCAGTTTTAGCTGAATTATATTTTACAATTCCAGACTTTTTCAAACATTTTTCTCAGAATGGAAAACCTGATGGTGCAAAATGACGTTTTAAAAAGTTAAATCTGCATTTTGTTAAAACCCATAACTGTTATTGTATTAATTTATCTCACACTAAACAGTTTGTAGATTTTTGATGCTTTTATTCTGTTTGTTCGGCACCGAAACCAGAAGCTAAAAGGCGTCAGAATCAGACTTTATTAAAACAAAGAATCATTTTTCTGTCTGTTTTATCATTTTAATTTCATCCTAAAGTTAAGGGAAAAAAATCTGGACTAAGTAGCCAAATGGATTTGATCTGAAAACAAACCAATAATTTATTGAACGGATATAAATACAATTGTACCAATGGAATCAATTAATCAATCTTTATAAACAGAAACAAATCAGGTCAGAGTTATAATTTATAATGTTGGGAAATTATTATTTTAAACAAAAATCTTCCCCAGCATCAGTGAATCTCTGCAGAGATTGGACGAGGATTAAGACTGAAATCTATGCTGGGGAATTATAAATTATGAATTATGATTACTCTCCAAACCGATAGGTTTGGTTTGACAAAATGAAATATATAAAAATCAGATGATAACAGGAAGATGAGAAGGAGATAAATCATCCTAATGGAAAAAATATTAGGTTTTAAAATATTCTACATTCATTTTACATTTTATTTCTTCTATAAATAACAGTTGTTTAATCTGAAAGAGAAATGTCAATAAAATCCCATCATTATTATAAATAAGAGGAATCAATCATTAGAAATATGACAAATTATTTTAAAAATATATAACTTATAAAGAGATTTAGTCGGATTTAAAAAAAAAACGCTACATTTAATTCAATGATGATGCAGAAAAATGAGATTTATGGTAAATAAATGAATATTATCTTACCATACATGAGGATGACTCTTCAGCTCACATCCACACACAACTGGAAATAATCCTCACACACACACACACACACACACAGCATCATGGCTCCGCCCACTTTCATTCATGCTCAGCCTGGCTGATGGAGTTACAGGATCTCAGAGGATAAATTTTCTGAAAGCTGGAAATGTTCTCAGATTAACAGTGAAGAACTGATTAATTGATTTATTATTGAATCTTTTAAACTGATAATTTACAAACCTAATTATTTTTCTCAAATTTGAACCTTCTACATGCTGAGATGAAGATTTTTAAAATAATCCTTCCTAATGAAACAGACCCACAGCATAATGCTTCCACCACCGTGCTCGGTAACCTGACCTCCTTCTGGACCAAACATCACTGGGAATAATTTGGATTCTTCTTCTCTCAGATTTAAACGTCTAAATATGTGAAAACCTGCCTGAATGTGAGACAATCAGAGGAAATAAAGACTAAAATAAAACTTTTGCCTCCAGTTTTTGTTTTAACGTTGACATAAATGAGCAGACTGGACGGTGGTCCGGTTACCGCCAGAGGTCTGGTGGTCCAACACGGAGCAGCAGTCCTGCAGCAGCCGGCGAGGGGCCTCCGCCACGGTCGGCATGGCAACCACCCTGGGCAGGCTGGGGAGGGCAATGCTGGGGAAGCTGGGCAGACTGGGAGGGTTGGCGCCACGGGACAGAGAGCCGAGCAGAGCCGGGACCGTCATCATGCGGGGCAGAGAGCCCGGCATCGCCGTGGCAACGACCTCAGAGTCACAGGTGGAGGAGAAGAAGAAAAAGAAGAGGAGGTCCTAAAGTAGAAGAAGAAGAAGATGAAAGCTGCTTCCCAGATAATACTGATGATAATAATAATAATAATAATAATAACTTTTCTGGAGTTTATCTTAAATTAAACACTGGATAAATAAAGTATATTTATTGATCACTGTTTACAGCCAATCATTTTGATTTCATGCTTTAGAAAATGAATTAAAGTTTGTAATGCAGAGAGAACTGTAACCAATATTCAGCCACATAAGAAAAAACATGTTTTTGTCATTTCTGACAAATATAAAGTCAAGATTATTTATTTCTGAAAAACTCTGCAACTAAACAGTAAACAGGAGAATGCAAACAGTAAAACATTTAGAGTATCTGCTCATTCTTCCAGAAAAGTGAATAAATTAAACATCTAGTCTGAAACCGTTTCCAAACAGTAATAAACAGTCGACCTTCTGACCTCTGACCTTCAGCTCCTGCAGTGAATCTGTTTCTTACCTGCTGTTTCCCTCCAACGCTCCGATCTGCTGCAGCTTATGCAACTTCTGATGTCCTGCTGCTCCGATCTATAATCAATACGCTGCTCCGCCTCTGACGCCATCACCCATCAGGAGGAGGGGGAGCCGCCGCCAACCCGCGGAGCGTCACATTCAGCTGAGGAGGAAGAGGAGCAGCGGCACCTCCTCTTCCTCCTGACTGGGATGCAGGGACGGCTCCCTCTGGTGGCCAACAGAGGGAAGTGCAAACATTTCCCAGGAAGCCGCTCTGACCCCTCAGGTCCAGCAGGTGACATTTACTAGAGTCATTCACACACACAGACAGCAGGGGGAGCTCTGTCCTGATAAACTCATGTTTTATTAGAGATGAAAACAAACCAACTTCACATGATTCACATCCTGCTGCTACAGCTTCACGCCGTCCAGCGCCAACCCTCCGATGAACAGTCCTCCAAGCTCCGCCTCCAGCTCCGGCAGGTGGCCTGACTCTGCCCCCGTGTTTGTGTCTCCCAGTGTCCGCCACCAGGGCAGCCGGCTCGCCTGCAGCGCGGCGATGTGGGCGTCACGCCCGCGAGCCGCGATGGACGCTGATTGGCTCAGGAAGGACTCCGCCTGCATTGCCGTGACAACCGAAAGGGGCGGGGCATCTGTAGGGGTGACGCAGCTGATTACTTATCCTCTCTGCATCACCATCCTCTGAGTGTGTGCGCGTGAGTGTGTGAGACCTCGCAGCAGCTCCAGGTGTGTGTGTGTTTGCGCCAGCAGAGCCTCCACCTGCTGCTCCTCCCTCCTGCGCTGAGCTCCGCCCTGCAGCTCCGCCTGCAGCAGCTGCTGCACCTCCTCATGCAGCGCAGCACACGCCTCCACAGACACACGAGTCGACTGCACGCACACACACACACACACACGTTAGAAACAAACGTTGAGGTTTGATGAAGGTTAAATTTAACTTTCAACCTAAAGTATAACTTTCTGTTTTAAAAATATATTCTCCTAAAGCTCAGATTTACAAACATTTGCATAAATGTCAGACTTATGTATTCATTAATAATGTATTACTAATCAATAAATCAATAAGATGTCCTGCTCTTACCCTGTGTGCCTGGATGTACTCCTCCACCTGCTGCTTTAGTTCCGCCCGCCGGCTCTCCGTCAAACCCTCCTGACCAATCAAGAGCGGCGTTGGGGGCGGAGCCTGAGCTGCTGGTCGTTTCTCCAGAAGCCGACGACCCTGTAAGGAGCAGACGGCGTTTCATCATCATCAGTGGGACAGGTGAGATGACATCATCATGTTTGTGTCTTACGGCTCTCTGCAGCGTCCTGGCAGCACGCTGCCGCCTCGCCGCGTCCCTCAGAGCGTCGCCATAGCGACGTCTGTCTCTGAAGCTTCTCCATGCGCTCTGGATCACCACGGCGGCTCGGCGCTCGCACTCCTCCAAGTACGGACGCACCTGGTCTGGAGACACTGAGGTCAGAAGCTGCTGCTCCAATCAGAGCAGAGGAAGGCGAGGGGGCGGGGCTTACCGGCAGGAAGCAGCTGCAGAAGCTCCCTTTGCTTCTGATGCAGGCGCCGCCTCGCCTGCTGCCGCCGCACACACACCTGCAGGAGCGATCGTCAGGACAGAACGGCTTAACACTTATTTTATTGTTATTGTTTTATCTATAACTTCTAAATGATTTTTCATTCGCTGGGTTAAAAGAAAGGAACCTAGGCTGTTAAAAAATAAATATTGTTGAACACACACACCTGCAGCTGCAGCACTGACCTGGTAGCGTAGCTGCTCTTCCCACTGCTGCGCCGCTTCCTGCTGCTGCAGACGCCTGCGCCGCGCCCTGAGGCCAACATGGCGGTGAAAACGATAAACATGCGATAAGGAGGTGCATCGCTCTGATGTTGATCCGATCAGTACCTGTATCTGCGCTGCAGCGCGCTCACAGCTCTGCTGAGGCTCTTCACTCTGCGCCGGGTCAGAACCGAACGCCACGCCGCCTGGATCACACACGCCGCCCGCACGCGCTCACTGCTCGCCTTCACACACACACACAAAATTTTTAAAAAAGCAACAAATTTATTGAAAATGTTTGGTTCAATTTTTACAATCATTTTAAAAAATTAATGTCACTTTATTCAAATTTAAATGACAACAGGAACTTATAATTTATTGATATATTTATTGATTATTATTTCTGATTTGTCAGACGAACCTCTGACTGACGGCTGGCGGTTTCTTCCTGCTGGATGACTGCGATCAGCTGATCCACTTCCTGCTCAAAGCCCCGCCCCCTCCAGTCTTTCTCCAGCAGGCTGTCCAGACCTGCAGACACAGAATGACCTCTGACCTCTCCGTCACGTGACACAGTCTCACCTCCTGCTCTCTGACCTCTGACCTTTAAAGTTGAACAGTAGCGAGCGGAGCCGCAGTCCCATCCGATTGGCCATCAGGAGCATCAGCTTGATGGAGGCTCCGCCCACAGCGGCGTCCGAGCTGAGAGCCAGTTGGGCGACGGTGTCGTTGAGCAGCAGCAGAGCCGATTCGTCGCTCAGCTGGGACAGGAAGTCTCTGCAGTTTCAACACATTGAGGTTCAAACATTTCTACTGGGATTATTTTTATAAACTAAAGGCTTAAAGTCTCATCAACTCAGGTAAACAGGAAGTGGCGTGGCGTTTTCCTGTGAGCTACCTGTTGACTGTACAGGTTTGAATCCACATCTGGATGCAGAGCAGCGACACGGTGACATCATCACTCATCTGGATCTGCTCGTAGTGGGCGGAGCTTAGCACTGCAGAGACAAAGCTTGTTTGTGAAGAAGTTGCAGATGTTGGGACTACTTTCAGAGGCGGATGTGGTGAGCGGACCCTGAGCCGTGAGGTGGGGGTGAGCGGAGAGCAGCCAGCCGACGGCGTCCATCACGGTCCTGAGGAGGGGCGGAGCCTGAGACAGACCACAGGAGTTACTGCTACTCTTCATCGCTGCTCTTCATCACACCT